GTGTTCCTTAGAAGCAAGAATGGTAAGATGTTGTCTCTCATTCTGTGGGTGTTTGATCAGGAGTGTCCAGTCCCTGGAGGAGGACACCATGCTTGGTGAAGTGGAGAGTCGGCGAACAAGAGGCAGACCCTTAACTAAATGGACTGGCACAGTGGCCGCAGCAAAGGGCTCAAGTGTACCAACTGTGAGGATGGCGCAGAATGGTGTTTTGTTCTGTTATGCAGAGGGTCACTCTGAGTCAGAACCGACTTGACGGCACCTAACAACAACAGAGTATTAGATTTACTTACTTTTCAAAACCAACACAATTTTATTTCGTTCCCTTCACCCAAGTTAATTCTCAACCCACAACAGACACCACCTTTTGCCCCTCTGTTGAAAGATAAGGAGCGGCAGACTTCACGCACGAATGGTGGTAGAACTGGGATCAGGACCCAGGCAGCCTGGGATAGGCATCCCGCTGCGTGGCCAGAGGACAGGCTCAGAAAACAGACTCCCTGGACTGCAATACTGACTCCACTGTGACCTTGCCTTATGGTTTTGGTTCAGTCACTTAATCTCTTAGGGCCACAGATTTCTCATATGTAAACTGGGATAACAGTCCTTGCCCATAGTGCTGTTAAGAGGATTAAATGTGCTAACACAGGTAAAACATGAGCTAATGTATGTAAATCTCTTGGAAAGCAGTCTGGTCCATGGTAGCAGCTCTTGGTAAATCTCAACGATTATAATTGCATAAATATCATTGAGCACCTGTTACATTCTGGACAGCACCATGCCGCATATAGTTTCAGGTGCCAGCTAGCCGTCCATGTCAGAACAGGACAGTTTGTCACCGGGATGCCAACAGTAGTGTCCTGTGAGGGTTGTGACCTCAAGTTATAGAGACCCCTATTTATAGATGATCATCTGTTTATTTTCCTTCCAGTCCCTTTCCTTATTTTAGGTTTCTTGATGAACTGTTACACACTAGACATGCTAATCTAAATATTTTGGTGAATGGATTTCCAGTCACTAACTACCACCACCACCACCACCAACAACAACAACAACCCCACTGCCACTGAGTCAATTCCAACTCCCAACAATCCCATGAAGTAGAGTAGAACTGCTCCATAGGGTTTCCCAGTCTGCCATCTTTGTCCCACAGAGTGACTGGTGGGTTTGAACCACTGACGTCTTAGTTAGCAAAGGAGTGCTGTAAACATTGTGCCCCAGGACTTGTAAAACTCTCACTCAAGTATTAACATCTGACATAGCAACATGATGCTTTTCAAAACCAGAACTGATTATTAACTAATTGACAGACCTTATTCAATTTGAAATAATCACTGGACTCTAAGTACCTTTTGCTGCTCAAACATGAATCTTTTCTTTTACATCTATGGCTAAAGAAAGGCGCCTTGGTAGCAGAGTGGGTTACCTGCTGTGCTGCCACATGCAAGGTCAGTGGTTAGAATCTACCAGCTGCTCAGTCAGAGAAAGATGAGGCTTACTGCTCCCATGGAGACATACAGTCCCAGAAACCCTATATAGGGCTGCTATGAGTCAGAACCGACTCCACCGCACACAACCACCACCACAACCGTGACTAAGGAAAACACAAAATTCCCTGTCTTTTGCCCTCATCCCCTCCCCCACATAGAAGATGCTCAGGAATATTTAGCATTTGTTAATAAATTCTTTTTCTGCCCATAGAGTAGTAGGAAGAAGCTGAACTAGGGTCTTGCTCAGTGACCCTAATCATTTGAGGCTCACTAGTCTAGAATCCTGGTGTGGCGTTGTAGGTTAATGTGCCAGACTGCAAAACCGTTTGAACCGCAAGGTCGGCAGTTCAAGCTCACTAGCTGCTCCTTGGAAACCCTATACAGGGTTGCAATGGGTCGGGATTGACGCGACGGCATGTCACAACAACAACAACAGCCTAGACTAGTGATACCACAGTTAAGCTGCTCAAATCTTAACCAGAAAGCTGACCATTCAAACCCACTAGCTGCTCCACAGGAGAAAGATGTGACAGTGTGTATCTGTAAAGACCCGCTGCCTTGAAACCCCTACAGGACAGTGCTCCTCTGCCCTACAGGATTGTTGTGACTTGGAAGGGACTCCACAGCAGTGGGATTTTTGATTTTTTTGGTTTGGTTTGCTCTAGACTGAGCTGTGTTCCTCTATATATTTCCAAGAGCCCACCATCCAGTAAATTCAATAAATGCTCTTTAAGTGTCGTTGTTAAGTGCTGTCAAGTTGATTCCGACACACAGTGACCCTATATAGGGTTTCTGAGGAGCAGCTGGTAAGCTTGAACCACCAACCTTGCAGTTCAAATGACTTTGCAGTCTGGCACATTAACCCACAGCGCCATACCAGGACTTTAAGTGTTAGGATTAAAGAATTCCACACAATTAATGATTTCAGTGTTCTGAGTGCTCCTTCCCAAGATGGACACTTAATGAGTCGACTCACCCTCTGCAAGGTCAGGAGCCCCCGAGATCAGCCTAAGGTGGAGTAATTTGCCACAAGCACTTACAGCACTTAGAAAAGCAGCTGTACTCATGATATGATTTATTACAGAAAGACAATACAGCTTAACATCAGTGGAGGGGAGAGGTGCAGGACAGTGTCCAGGAGATCCCAGGCAGGAGCTTCCAATGATCCTCTCCTGGTGGAGTCAGAGCCAGTGCTAATTCTCCCAGCAACGAACCATGACACACACAGAATATTATTAACCATGGACGCTCTCCCAAGCCCTGACACCCAGAGTTCATACTGAACACTTGGCTGATCTCAGTCTCCAACTTCTCCACTTGAGTTGATACTGGTGGTCCGACGCACCTGCCCACGGCTGTCGAGTTGATGCCAACTGATAAGGACCCCATCGGAGGGACTAGTACTACGCCCTAAGAAGGTGAGCTAGGGTCAACTTCCAAGGCTGCAGGTCTTTACGAAAACAGACTGCCTTGTATTTCTCCCTCAGAGCAGCTAGTGAGTTTCAACTGCCAACCTTTGGTTAGCAGCCCAACGTTTAACCCACCATGCAGGTTTCAGAGTGCTCTCCGTAAATGGAATTGCTAACGTAGACTGTGATGTTCACGTAGGACATTATAAAGGCTGAGCGCCCACCTCCCAGGAGCTGAAGACCACATTCAGACCTCTTTTCAGGCAGGGCTCATGCTGGGCTACATATCTACCGAAAAAACCCCAGCCAACTACAGACAAGAGGCTGTTTAGTTCCAAAGTGGCCAGTCCACAGACAAGACAGGCAGCTTCAGAGACCCATTCACAGAGTGTGGTGTCAAGGCTGAAGAACAAATAAGGCATCTCTACTCGTGTCCACACACATGAGTCCCCAGTAAGTGCTGACCGAGAAGGATGATCTGACCAGGGCTACCCATGGCATCTGACGCTCCGGAGGGTGTTGCTAGTCCCAGTCCTGACTTCCTAGGAGACCCCATGTGCAGGTAGATGTCTTCATCGGCGTCTACCCCACGGAACACAACACAAGCCAGCTGCCTTGGAGGCCGCCTGGACTCATAGTCACTCTTCATTTGTCCTATTAGGATTAGACAACTGTTTCATGCCACCCGCAGACTCTATAAAGGTCTGCAAAGTATAAGGGAGGTGGAAACATTTTCTGCTTTTTTTTATGTTGTTGATAAGATACACAGCAAAACATGCACCAATCCAACACGTTGTTTCTACATGTACAATTCAGTGACATTGAATAAATTCATTGAGCTGTACAATACGCCTCATCCTCCCTTTCCTATTTAACTAAACATGCAGACATTTGAATCCCCTGCCTCCACCCCTGGGGTCCCTCTGGAAGGCCGCAACAACTGGGGACTTCCTGGCCACTTCAATACTCCCCCTACCCATTGTTTGAAATGCTGCCTGCCATTCGAGGTTCCTCCCCTAGAGACTTAAAGGGGTTTCCTCTTTTTTTCTCTCTTTCTAAGTTTCATCCTGCCCTGGGAGGGGCCGTTCCCCTGTTTCAAACTGGCCTTGTCCACCTTTCAGTCAGGTGTGGATTTGATGCATTTTCTCTCCAAGGTCATCATTGCTTCTGCGTTCTGATGGGACTCACCTGTCTGGGTTCCTGCACACACAGTTTTCTGCACATGGCAGTCCTCTCTTGTCTTGTGAGGACAGTGTCCAGAGCCTCCCGGAGCACTGACCTTTGCCGCACAGGCCTGGGGAAGTGGAGGGAAGTACGGCTAAGCAGCTCGGATGCTGACTCAGCAGCGTTGACCCCACAAGTCAGGATAAATCCACTGCCCTCCAGTCGACTGTGACTCAGAGTGACGTCATAGGACAGAGTGGGGCTGCCCCATAGGGTTTCCAAGGCTGGATCTGTACAGAGGCAGACTGCCTCATCTCTTACATGAGGAAATGTTGGTAGGTTTGAACGGCTGACCTTGTGGTTAGCACCACCACGAGTACTTTCCCCGGGACTATTAGGAACGTGTATTGAGGCCCACAAGCAGAACGGTGGCCGCACACCCATGCTTCGCCTTAGCTGTTCTCTGCCGTGGCCACAGCGCTCCCGGGGGGTTCCCATGCCCTACAGTCCCAGAGGCTCCGCTGTTTGGGGAAACCAGTCCTAGAACTTCAGGAGGGATGGGAAAGCCCAGAGTCCCCCATCCTTTCTTGTGGAATCCGGGTCTGTGAACACAGGACTGGGCTGCACCTGCTGTTTCCCAGCACCACATAGCTGTCTGTGGGCCACAGCCCCTCCTCCTATGAGGACCCCTGTCTTGTTCCTCACACAGCGCGCTGGGCGCCCTGGGCTAGAAAGCAGTTGGCTCCAAAGGTCAGCTGGGAAATTGGTGCACAAGCAGGATGCTGGGGCTCAGGCTTGGGGTCGCTTGTGAACATGAAAGGGTCCCGGAGGAATGGGCGGTGTTCTGGCTGTTTCTCCTCAGGTGATTGGCTCATACTCTGTCTTGTAGCTACAGTTTAAATCTAAAATAGTCTTAACGTATTTTTTCCCCACCCACCAGAATTAAGGCGGCAGCAGGAGTGAAGATTACGGCAGTCAGAGTCAGCAGCGAGGGCCAGTGGGCTGTCCAGGAGGATGTGGAGAATGGCAGCGAGCAGACCACGGCCACCCTCACCTGCGTGGGCCACCCCCCAGAATCCCAGAGCAGGTGAGTGTCCAGGCCTCCAGAACCCCCAAACGATAGACCCGGGTGCACGTTGCCCAGGAGACCCAGTAACAAATGGTACTTTACTTCTTTTTTGTACTAGGAACCTCTGTAGCACTGTAGGTATAGCGATATACTGATAGTCACAAGGTCGGGAACCCACTAGGGGAGAAAAGCTTTCCAGCCTCGGAAACCTAGTGGGACTCTTCTAGTTGGTCCTATAGAGTCAGAGCAGATGGATAGCCTCGGTTTGGTTTGCATTTACACACGGATGCCCCCCCAGAGAGATCAGCATCTACATTCTAACAAGGTTCATAAGACCCCTAGGTGATTCTTATGCATACACCTGAGAGATCCCTTTGAGGAGTCCCGGTGAGGTCATGTGGGCGAATGTGCTGGACTGCAAAGTCAGTTTGTACTTCAAGGTTTATGGCTCAAGCTCACAATTCACTCCTTGGAAACCCTATATAGGATCCCTGTGGTCCAAACCGATTTGACAACACTTAACAAGTGGTCCCTTCAGGTGATTCTGTCTTCACATGCTTCCCCAGATCCCTCTGTGTCCACCTGCGAATCACCTACCGAGCTTGTTGAAATGTAGTTTCCACTTTCACAGCCCCATGCTGAACCATTAGCCCACCCACGCAGTTCCCCCTGTGTGGCGGGCTACCACACGAGCTTTTATCCATTTTGCTCTAGATGCACAAATGGCCCAGTGAGGTTGACAGTCTCAAACATTACCCGAGTGTACGTTTGTCAGAGTGTGGGGGTTTGATAACAGTATCTTGCAGCTGGATTATTATTGTTGTTGTTGTTTGTAGTGAAGAGTTGAAGACTGAAACAGGGAAAATAGGCATCATTTAAGAGGTGAGAAGAAAATGTGCATTTTTATGAGCCTCATGAAAGAAGCTAGCGCTATTGGGTAACTGCCCCTCAGTACTTGGATGGAGTTGTTTTGCAGATCTCATACCTGGGGAAGAATGTGTGCCTTAAGCCTCAGAATGCTAAACCAGGCAGACTACCAGCTCTGGGATGTATGGGGTCACAACAAGTCGGAATGGACTTGATGGCATCCGGTAATACCACAGCATCTGTAGGGGACTGCTGCCCTGGGACCCACACAGCCTCACTGATGAAAACCATCCTTAGTTCACCTAGGACGAGGCTGAGTCCTCAGCTCGAGGTCACTGGTTTCCAACACTGTCTCTGGGTATAGTCTGTTCTCTTTTCCTTCTTTTTGAGTTTATGGGCTTTCTAGGCCCCCTACCTCATGTCACACGACAAGTAGATACCCCCAGTGGAGGAGAGAGCAAGTTGGGGGAGCCTGAGAAATGGGGTGATGTCATGTTCGGAGCGCTCTGTGTTGGTGGTGTCCCCAGTCAACCCCAGCTGGAGCCCTGTACTGCCTGGTTTTGGAGATCCCTTTCAAAGGAAGGCAAGTAACTGAAAGCCTCCATTCGAACCAGTAACCTGGCCGCCTCCTGTCTGAGCTGAGCATCCTGCCTGTCATCCTTTCCATCCACTGAGAGAGCATCTGGTCTGCCACCTCACTTGACCCCTGGTTTTCCTGGAAGTCTGGGTCTGCGGTCTGAATGCTCCCAGGTGCTGTGTAGCTCATCTCTGGAGACAGCAGAGGGTTTCTGTACACATTCAGGTGTTGTTGCTTTCAGGTGATCCAATACCTGCCATCACTGCCCTCAGCTCATGGCAACCCCATGTTTCACAGAGTAGAACTTGCCCCACAGGGTTTTCTCAGATTCATTCTGAGGCCTTTCTTCTGCACAGCAGCTGGCTGGGTTAGGACTCTCAACCTTAAGATGAGTAGTCAATCACACATTGTTAGTGCCACCAAGACTGCCTGGCTGCAACAGTAGGGTTTTATTGTTTCATATGAACAAGAAATCTAGAGGTTGCTGGTTGCTCGGTGGTATGGCTGCTTAGTCCTGCAACATCACTGTGTCATCCGAGTGTTGGCATGCTCTTAGACCTGCTCAGGACTCATGGTATGGTGCTGTAGGATCTGCACTGGACTGCGAACCACAAGGTCAGTAGTTCAAACCTACCAGCTGCTCCTTGGAAACCTCGTACAGGTTCGCTGTGAATTGGAACTAACTTGACAGATCTTAGCAACAACAACAAATACCTGCTCTAAGGAGCCCTGGTGGCATCAGTTCAAACCCACCAGCTGTTCCATAGAGGAAAGATGAGGTATTTTGGTTGTGTAAATATTTAATCTCAGAAACCCTATGAAACAGCTTTACTCAACCCTACGGGGTCACGCTGAGTCATACCTGACTTGATGGCAGTGGGTGGAATAGCTGGTCTGCTGGCTGTCACCTTTTAAGTTGCTTCCTCATGCTCACAAGATGGCTGCAGCATGTCCAGACATCACACACTCACTCAGCCATACCCAAAGGCTGGAAGAGAGACACTTCTTCTCATACTTCTTTTTTTTTTCATCAGGCATGAAACCTATCCAATAGAACCCTGGTAGTCTTCCCTTTCGATCTCACTAGTAAGCAGTGCGTTCTCTGCCTTTGTCCAGAGAGCAAGGAGCCTGGGAAAGTCAGTGGTGGGATTATTTTCAGTCTCTGTACTGGAATGAAGGAACCTGGTGGCACAATAGTTAAGTGCTCAGCTGCTAACAAAAAGGACAGTGGTTCCAACTTACCGGCTGCTCTGTGGGAGAAAGACGAGGCCATGTTGGTGCTGTTGTTGAGTGCTGCCGAGTTGGTTCTGACCCAGAGCGACCCTGTATTGCGTTTCCAAGGAGTGGCTGGTGAGCTTGAATTTCTGACCTTGCTGTTCAAACTGAGTTTGCAGTCCAGTGCATTAACCCACAGCGCCACACCAGGACTCCAGGCTTCTGTAAAGCTGGCAGCCTTGGAAACCTGGTGGGGCAATTCCACTCCCTCCTCTAGGGTCTCAGTGAGTCCGAATCGAATTAGCCTTCTCATTTCAGTGGGAGGATGGCTGCTGGGGTCACCTCGTAGTGTCCGCCCCTCGCTTCAAACGTCATAGCTTGGGGGTCTGTTTGGCTGCTGGCTGACTCAGATGGACTTTGTCCAGTGGTGCCATTGGCCACTGTGCTGAGGAAGCCCAAGCATATAGGGACAAACAGCAATTGTGAGCATGGCATAGGACCGGGCAGTGCTTCATTCTGTTGTTTGTTGGGTCACTATGGGTCAGAACTGACTCGACGACATTAACAACAATAACCGTCTCCCATAAACAAAGAATCCCGGGTGGGCTTCCTGGAGGGAGGTCTGAATTCAGCTGCTTGGTGTCCTCTGTGACCTGGCCCCTTGTCTTTTCTCAGGGTGGGCTTTTTCTCAGGTAGACTCTTCCCTCCCAGAGACAAGAGGAAGCCCGCAGCTCCCTGATCCATCCCCCAACTCAGCCCCTTGGGGGATAAGCTTCTCTCCCCAGACAGGCCCTCACTGTCTCAGTGTGCATCCACCCTGAACCAATCACTGTAGCCACACCTGAACCTCCTGGACTGAGAGGGATGCATGTGGGAATGAAGGTCCAGAGGCCTCTAGCAGCTACAGGTCTTGTTGTGCAAATCTGGATGGAAGTTTCTGACTCTGCACCCTTAGAATTATGTTCATGCCTTGTTGGTGTTGTTTAGATGCCGTCAGGTCAGTCTGACTCATGGCCACCCTGTACTGGATTTCCAGAGCTCCATATCTACACAGAGATACACATGTATGAGGAGTCCTGGATAGTTGCTCACCTGCAAGATCAGAGGCTCAAATCCACCAGCCGCTTCTCGGAAACCCTGTTATAAGGTCTCTATGAGTCACAGCCAACTCAGCAGCACTTAAAAACATCTCTCTCTACATATGTTGTTGTTTGCATCATCCATAAAGGGTCCAGCCTGGGACACCCTGCTGGCAAGTTCTACTCTGGGGCCTTGGACACCTCGTGGGGCAGTTCTCCTCTGTTGTATGTTGTCACTCTGAGTCAGACTTGGGGTGGTTTCTGACTTACAGCGCCGCTATATGACAGAGTCGAACTGCTCATGGGGCGTCTGATGCTGCCATCTTAATGAAAACCATGTCTTTCACCTACAAAGAGGCTGGTGGGTTTGAACCACTGACCTTTGAATTAGCAGCTATGCATTTAATTACTGTCCACAAAGTCTCCCTCCGTCCTTCTTGCTCTCTCTGGCTTTCTGTATCTATTTCATCCCTGGGTAGCACAGTTAATACACTCTCTGCTAACCATAAGGCTGGTGTTTCAAATCCACCCAGAGGCACCTCAGAAGAAAGACCTGGCAATGTACTTCTAAAAGGTCACAGCTCTACTCTGACATGTGTGTGCCGTGAGTCAGAATTGACTCAACTGCAACTGCCAATTAGGGATGTATGTGTGTGTGTGTGTGTGTGTGTGTATGTATATATATGTATATATATATATGGAGCTCTGGTAGCGTAGTGGTTACGAATCAGGCTGCCAACCTCAAAGTCAGCAGTTCGAAACTACCAGTGGTTCCGCGGGAGAAAGATGAGGCTTTCTGCTCCCATAAAGATTTACAGCCTCAGAAACCCTGTACAGGGTTGATATGAGTGGGAACCGAGTCCATAGCACATAACCATATATATATATATATATATATATACACACACACACACACACATATATACATATATATGCACACACACAAATACATATATATATATATACACACACACACAAATACATACATATATACACATATACACATAGATATACAAACACATATATACATATACACACACATATATACATATATATGCACACACACAAATACATATATATATATATACACACACACACAAATACATACATATATACACATATACACATAGATATACAAACACATATATACATATACACACACATATATACATATATATACACACTCAAATATATATGTACATATATACACACACAAATATATATATACATGTCTATACACATATATATGAAGGAGCTCTGGTAGCGTAGTGGTTACGAAT